TAAATGTATATTTTATCCAACCTAGTAGTCAATCCCTCATCAGTATAAAGATCGTCAATAAGATATCCCACATTCTTTTTTTTCCATGCTGAGCCATGCAGTCCGCTCTGACTCGGCCAGGTGCCGCCGTCCCAGGGACAGTGGGGTTCCAGCACCTGGGGTGGCCATCTCAAGGGGAAGGTGATGAGCCGGGGGAAATAGCTCCAGACAGCCTGGTCTAAAGGGTTAAGTAAGGAGACTGATTGTACTCTTCAGATCACGTGGGAAACAACAAGAATGAACCCCCATTATTTTATTAGAATCAACATATCCTTTGCTTCTTGCAGAATATCCCAAGTTTAAATGTTATCAGAGCAGATCTCCGGAGGCATTTGGAAACAGGTCCGCTGCACTCCATGACCTCAAGGAAGGAATGATCTTTCTTCTTCTTATTTTAAATTATTAATTTTTTTATTATAATGTTTTAAGTTTTTGTTTTCATTCCGGTATAGTTCACATGCAGTGTCCTATTAGTGTCAGATATACAATATAGTGACTGATTGAACAACTCTTTTTTTTTTTTTTTAAGTGTTTATTTTAATTCAGGAAGGAATGATCTTAACGGCCCTGCTTCCCTGCAGGATATTTTAGTAAGAAGCAGCGGATATGTAAAATCAAGACAGCGGTTTAATGGCCTGTTTTGTCTGTCTCATCTCAAGTACTGATCACACAGTTCCCACTCAGCTGCTCCTAATTTTTTCAAGGTCTGTGCATTTCATTTTTGGTTTCCATAACCAACCTCTCCATTCCCTGCGGGCCAGGGTCTAAATTTTTACAAATGACAAGGAGGTTACTTTCCAAATATTACGATTCTGACCTGGTAGCAGGATTACATTTTCCCATGGTAGTAATGAGGAGAGTTGTTTGAATTCCCAGATCTGGCTACCAACACAAAAGCAGAAGCACGAGGAACAAAGCCCATCGTCCAAACTGTGTGTGACAGAGGCCATGGGGGAACACCGGGGTGTTCTCTGCTGTGCTTGGTTTTTGTCCTCCAGGGGCCCCTCCTTGGAAGGTGTCCACCCGCAGGGCCCAACCCTACACCCCACTGGCAGGGAGCCCTGGCAGACCCAGCAGGCCCCGCCCCAAACAGTGAAACCCAGAACTGGGGACCAGCAGCCCTTTTTATTCCTCAGGTTTCCCTTAGGAGATTCTAATGCACAGCCATTGTACCAGAGGGAATTCGCTCGTCTTTTAAGTTAAAATATAACGGAGACAAAGGTTTACACTGCAGGTGTGCCCTTTATCATTTCTGTTCCCTTGGCTTTCCGTTTGTCTGCTCAGAGCCTGACTTCCTCATCACCCCTAGGGGACTCCGGACCCCACGGGCTTGCTGTGAGCATCCATCCGCCCTGAGCTGGAGGCACAGGCCCGCCCCACGTCCCACGCCCCACGCCCGGGGCTGGCCCCAGCTGTGGGAAGAGGTCAGCAGGTTTAACTCAACTGCACTCACTTTCAGTAAAAGTCCGGGAGGCTGGGAGGTGCTTCTTAGGATGCACTGGCTACAGCTCGCCCTCCCGGGGAACTTGTGGAAGATGCCGAGTCCGGCTCCTCCGTCCCTGCCCTCCGGAAGGTTCCACTCCCTCCCCGGGGGCTCTGGCAGCGCCGAGGGGACCCCCATTGCTGCAGGTGACCAGCTCCTTCTCAGGTGAGCACAGGTTCACCCCAAGAGGCTGGGTGTGAGTCAGGTGCTGGGGCTGGTGTGAAGGTGTGCGGGCCACCCATGACAGGTCTCCTGGGCGTCCCCTCCGGATCACGTGTACTTGTCACAGTTTCCTCCTGCCATTGCTTACATTGGTTAGAACCCCCCAATTTATCGTGCCTTTAGGAGCGACCCCCTGGAGCTGTGTCCTCATAAAGGGGTGCTCAGGAGGGCGAAGGCCTGACGTCGGGTATTAATCATGCTGGTCACCTGGTGATCGTGCTGGTGTGGTTGAAGCGTTTGGGGTTAATTTCCCTGGGACAGTGGCCGCCGAGCGAGTCCTAGAATCCTGGAGTCTGTCCGAAGGGCCCGCGAGGAGCTGGGCCTCTCCATCCCCGTAAGGTCTGCGGGCGAGGCTGCGTGCGCCCCGGACCAGCTGCGGAGGCGCTAACGTCCCACACGTGTGGCCTTGCCCCACAGCGCGCGCGGGCGTGGGGCGCTCTCCCATCGAGAAGGGGAGTGGGTGGGCTTTCTGGAGGTCAGGAGCCCCGTCTCGAGGTCGCATCCGGCAGTCCTGGGGGAGCTGTGGGTTGTGCTGTGTAGAGGGCCCTGAGGTTCAAGGATGAGCATCCGGGGGGCGGGGCCAAGCAGGTAGGAGTCCCGAGGTGGAAAATCTCTCCCTGCAGATTGGCGTGCAAGCCCCGTAGGACCCACAGCAGGAACGTGGGCGAATTCGTGCTTGCGGAGGCTGATACGGTCAACCTCCGGCTGGTGCCAGGACAGCGCCACAGCGTGGGACCACGTTTCTACGGGGGTCCCTTGGCTGGCTCCAGGGGGCAGGCAAGGGGAAAAGACGCAGGGCAGCTTTTACTTTTTAAGATGTTATTTCTGGGGCGCCAGGGTGGCTCAGTCAGTTGAGGGTCTGACTCTTGGTTTTGGCTCAGGTCAGGATCTCAGCCCTGGGTAGGGCTCTATGTGCAGTATGGAGTCCGCTTGGGATTTTCTCTGTCCCTCTGCCCCTCCTCTGGACCACTCTCTTTGTCTAAAATAAATAAAATCTTAAAAAAAAAAAGAAAGATTTTATTTCTAAGTAATCTCTGCACCCAAAGTGAGGCTTGAACTCACAACCCAGAGACCTAGAGTCACATGCTGCTGGGGCTGAGCCAGCCAGGCCCCCCTGATTTTTTTTTGTTTTTTTTAAGGATTTTATTTTTTGGAGCAGTTTTGTTTCACAGCAAAATTGAGTGGAAGGTGCAGATAGTGCCTGTATCCCCTGCCACACAGGTGCGCAGCTCTCCCCACTCCCCACGTCCCCACCTTGTGGCACGTGTGTTATAGACGATGAACCTGCACTGACTCCCCATCCTCCCCCAAAGCCCATGGTTTCCACCAGAGTCCCTGCTGGTGGTGTGTGTCCTGTGGGTTTGGACAGATGTGGAATGACCGCAGTCACCCGTGTAGCATCAGAATAACATCACTACCTCTCCTGTCGCCCCAAGCTCCTGGTGACCCTGATCTTTTTACTGTCTCCGTAGTTGTGCCTTTTCCAAAATCTATTTTTTTTTTTAACAAGAAGAATGTACTTATAAATTACTTGTGCAATTGCTAACCAAAGAGAAAAAAGCCATTTCAAGTCCTTCTGGCCATGGTGTGGATAACGTTAGAGGGACATGGCAGGATTCGGGGCAAAGGTCGGGAGAAATGTCAGTTTTAGGGGCAGGGCCTGGGGAGGGCGTGCGTACTGGGCGTGAGTCACAGGGAGCCATACCTGCAGCAAGAGAGCAAACACGGGCAGAAGGTGGGGGCGTGAGGGGGGAACAGGAGTCCATCGCGTCTTGATATATGGAGTTTGCGGGGTCTGGAGGGACGGACACCTGTTAATCAGTAGGTCATTCAAATTCTTCATGTCATAAGCGAGGTTTGAACATGAAGTAGTGAGACTCCGGATACACACATGTCCACGTCCATGTAGATTTTATCTGTGCGTGAGCCGTGGACTGACTTCTAAGGTCCACAGCTCGTCCAGCTTTGGGCCTATGGCAGCCTTTCAGACTCGGCGCCTTCGAGAGCCAATGGCCTTATTCTCGCATCTCAGAGGAGGGTCAGTGCGGCGTGAACATTTCTACCCCGTCTTCTGAGCAGGTTTACCGTTCCTGTACACACAAATGGAGTCTCCGTGTCTGTTAACACCCCTGGGAGCCACGGCGCCTTCCATATGCCGTTACCAGGAGTGGCCTTTACTTCATGGCTGGTGTTCTCAACATCTTCAGTCCCGACGTTGGTTTCTGAAATGTAAACTCGTGGAGAAGGCAGACTGGAGCTGTTGGGTGGGTGTGCTCGTGGAGTTTGGCTGGGAGCCCAGGGGCTCTACGCTGGAGGCTGGGGACTGTGTCCTCCCCGAGGCCCTGGCCCAGCCCTTGTCCTCATAGGCCTAACTCTTAGCCGCGGTGATGACACAGGATTCTGCAGGGGCGAAATCCACACCTGTTCACTTAGGTCTCCACAGTGGTTGTACCGCTCAGATGGGCTGCTCACAAGTGCAGCTCCCGGGGAGAGCAAATGAGTGTGGTGGACACACGAGACCATGTTGCACGAAGCTGCCTTGAGGGGTGCCTGGGTGGCTCAGTTGGTTAAGCTTCTGCCTTGGGCTCAGGTCATGGTCTCAGGGTCCTGGGATCGAGCCCCGCATTGGGCTCCCTGTTCAGTGGGAAGCCTGCTTCTCCCTCTCCCACTCCCCCTGCTTGTGTTCCCTCTCTCGTTGTGTCTCTCTCTGTCAAATAAATAAATCTTAAAAAAAAAATGTCACTTTAAATCCCCTTTAAGTAATAGCCCCTGGGAAAGTGTGGAAAATGTCCTAGATTATCTTGAGTAGGTATTTATAGTATATTGGTTTAATTTTTCTTTTACTAAAATAGCATTACTTATTTTGAATATAAGGCCATTGACTAAAAATTGTTTTCCCCTGGTAGCTGCTAATGAAATCATGTATTTTTCTTTCATCTCCTCCTCAAATCACCGAAATTGTCCTTTTCCATATAAATTTGAGTAAGGCTAACTGCACATAAACACCCCTCCCCGCTGGTGTCTAGTGAGCGGGCCGTGTTGCCTACAGCCCCCCGCGACTCTAAGGTGCCCCGGGCTCTCTCACGATGACACGCACCGGGCTGACATTGACCCCAGAGGGATGCGCCAGGCCCGTCCTCCACATGAGGAGCCTTCTGTGCGGGCCCGCGGTTCACCCCTGGGCCCAGCGGGTCCAATGTTAGCGCCAGAGTCGTCCCAGCCTGGTCACTGATTCCTGTCCCTGTTCCTTCCGCAGGTATGAACGCCGCTGTCCGTGCCGTGGTGCGCATGGGAATATACGTGGGGGCCAAAGTGTACTTTATCTATGAGGTCAGTGTTGCGTCTCCCTTGCACTTTCTCTGACTCAGGGACCTGTGCCTCGCGCCTTCCCCGGGCTCTGCTGACCCCCGATGGGCTCTGCTGACCCAGATGCGCAGGCTCAGGCCAGGCCAGGGCCCCAGGGGCCGGCGGCCGGGGGGCGGTGGGGGGTTCCCGCAGGGATGCGGGACGGGGGTGGCGCTACCTGGTCTAGGTACAGGCCTGTGAGATCTGTGGCAGGGAGGGCTCGGGGAGGGGAGAGCCCACGGGGTGCAAAATGGTCTCGTGGGATTAATGTATTTATTTGTAGCCCTTCTTCCCTAAAGACGAGATATATTCATTTAATATGGGGGTGAATTTGAATAAGTGTTAAGGTAAGCGGGAGAAAACAGCCACTTTGAGCTTTTCATCATTACTGTAGAACCCAGACCACCTCCCTAACAACCGTTTATGTGTTAACTTCGAAACCAAGCGCCTGAAACAAGACAACAGCCCTGGCCCATTAGCTCCTGGGGTCCTGATCGTGGAGAAGTAAGCCAAGTTCGGAGGGAAAGCGCCAGTGTAGTTTGGACTGTGCTAGTTATTTCAAAAACTATCAGGAAAAAATAATTTATATTTACTTTTTAAATTTATGAAATCTCATAAAGCTGAAAACACAGAAAGAAGAGCATATGTTTTTTAAATGGCTTGGTTCCTGCAAAACCACCATTAGTATTTTGTTTTTTTGTTTTTTTTTTTTTTAAAGATTTTATTTATTTATTTGAGAGAGAGAGAATGAGAGACAGAGAGCACGAGAGGGAAGAGGGCAGAGGGAGAAGCAGACCCCCTGCTGAGCAGGGAGCCCGATGCAGGACTCGATCCTGGGACTCCAGGATCATGACCTGAGCCGAAGGCAGTCGCTTAACCGACTGAGCCACCCAGGCGCCCAGTATTTTGTATTCTGATTCTTCCTGGGCGCCTGTCCTGTGTGCAGCAGGACCTAACCCCCCCGCGCCCCCCGCCCTCCAGGAGCTGACTGTCCAGGTCCTTTTCTCCTTCTGGGAAGTGGCTGTTCATAAGTCTGTGCTCACTGGGCCACATAATGGTTTGTGTATTGTTTGCTGGAAAAAGGTTTTGTTTTTTTTTTTGCCGTGGGCTTTGGTGTGCTTTTCTGAGCTGTGGTTCTGTGAGTTTGGGGTTTGCATTTATCTGATTTGGATGATGTTACAGGATGGGCCCAACCAAAGCTCTCCCAGACTGTTGTTTGGTCCTGTTCTGTTTGCAGCTCTTTGGGGTCACGTTGTGCCCTTAAGCGTCGGCCCTGGGCTGAGGCGCTGGCCACCAGCTGCCCCCTCACCAGCGCGGACAGAGTGCCAGGCTCCCCAGGCTCCCTCCCCCATCCCCTCCATTCGTCTAGTGTCCTGCAGGTGTCCACATGTGTGTGCGTTCCTGCTACTTCTGGAGACTGCATGCACACAGACCTCTCTGCCTTTTTATCTTACTTTATCTTATTTTATTCCATTTTGGGGAGGGGTTGCCTTCTGCCTGAGGGCTGAGAGAGACCACCACCCCCTGGCCTGACCACAGTTCCTCGGTGAACCTGGTTTTAAAAATCTTCTAGGGGTTGGGGCACCCTCAGATCAGGTTCTTCTGTTGTAATTAACGGCGTGTTTTCAGATCTGCCGATCTGGACCCCCCTGGCTTACAACGTGCCCTGCAGCGGGTGTCACCCTGGTCGGGGGCGCTGCAATGGTGTGTGGGCTGAGCTTCCGTCCCCGGCCCCCCCTGGGTCTTTGAGGTGACAGCGGGTGTGGGAGGGAAGGGAAGGAAGTCATATCCGGTATTTTATAGTGAAAGAAACTGACGCGTGTTTCTTTAAAAAAGTTTGCTTTTTCCGTGTCTTCTGTCACCGGCAGGGCTGGGAGAAAGCTCCCATGCCCCATCAAACCAGTAACAGGGCTGGGATCTACCCCCCAGGGGCGTGGGTGTCTGGAGACATTTTTTGACTGTCCCGTTATCGGGTGGGAGTGGTGCTCCCGGCATCTCACGCACAGAGAGCAGGGATGCTGCTCAGCAGCCTGATGCCCAGAACAGCTCGCACAGCAAGGAATTCGTGATCTGGCCCCCAGGGCCCACAGTGCCGAGGTCTGGAAGCCCCGCATTGAACCAAGGGCTGGATGTGTCCTTGCTGTGAGAGCAGGGTGGGCCTGTGCGCATGCTGAATTTTTGAGTGTGGAAACTGACATAGGAACTGTCGACGTTAATCCTTCAGACTTAAGTCTTATGTTTCTGTTGGTTTTATTGGCTCTGTATTCTGGCAGTTTTAGATAGGATATTTAGTGGGACCTCTGTTGCCAGACTGCACACATTTCCAGTTAAGGAATTGAGCAGGAACATAGCAGCTTTGCCCACACATAAGGACATTGGGGCTTCCTTAGGAGAAGAGCATCTTGGATTTTCTTCAGAGGAATCCTGACCTAGGAAACCAGATGCCTCCATCCCATTGTCCGCTGGGAGAGGTGGCCTGCTCTCCACGGCCTGCTTTCCTCCTGGCCACTTTTTTTTTTTTTTAAAGATTTTATTTATTTATTTGACAGCGCTAGCGTACAAGCAGGGGGAGCGGCAGAGGGAGAGGGAGAAGCAGGCTTCCCTCTGAGCAGGGAGCCTGACGCGGGGCTCGATCCCAGGACCCTGGGATTATGACCCAAACCGACTGAACCACCCAGGCGCCCCCCTCCTGCCCACTTTAGGGGCTGTGTTCTGCCCACTTTAGAGGCCGTGTTCTTCACGCTCTCTCTGAAAGGTGGGGTGGGCTTGGCATCTTGCCCCTTCCCGCCCACAGATGGGCAGCGAGGAGTCCTGACTCTGAATGGATCCCATGTCTTTCAGGGAAATGCAGGGGTTCGTGCAGTTTCTCCATCAGGAAGAGCCAGAGAGAATCCAGGCTTAGGGTAGTGAGTGTCAGGATGACTATTTTCGTAATAACTGGTTTACCGGTAATTGGGCCTTGGGTGGAAGATAGAGGGTGCATGGGGAGAAGAGCAGAGCCTCCAGGAACCAGGAACAGTCCGCCCGTGAGTCCTGGAGACGGGAAGCAGACGGGAGCAGCCTGGAGCTGGACTCACGTGAACTGAAGTCATCGGTCTGGAGAGTGGACCGTGCTTCTCGCGACACCCCTCCCCCTCCCCCCAGAAAAGAGAAATTGTAGGGAACCAGGGCTGTTCTTTACAGCTGCATGGGAGATGGTCTTGGACTCACTGGAGACCAAGCCCTCGGCCGGCCTCAGACCCTCGGGCTTTGCCCTGGGAGACAGTTTGGAGTGCACCAGTTTGGGGTAACATCAGCTCTTCGGGACAGACGTCGACGACCCTGTCTCTGAAATCCAAGCCTCTCTAAAATCTGCCAGTTTTACCTGACTCATCCGTACCCTCCTAGAGTGACTGCCCCTAAGACGGGGCCACGGGGCACCGGCCAGGACCACCCCATGCCCCACAGTCGTGCCAGGTTTGTCCTCTGGGGGGGCAAACACACCCCTGTCGGGGACGCCCGTCCGAGACCGATTTGGACTCAAATTGAGAAGATGTTTGGTTTTGTTTTTTAAAACCTCATTCAGCAACCTGTCCCACACGTGTGTTCATTTGTGGTCCAGTTTCTAAGCTTGCCTAGAGCTTTCAAGGTTGCCGGCACACCTAAACAGTTAAACAGGTTAGTGTTATGTAAACAAAGGGTTTGGGGTTTTTTCCTTAGCAGAAAGTTTGTGGGAAGTGGATTGATTAGAGAACACTGACGTTTCTGCCGAGGGCCTGGCACTGGCTTCGTGCTGTCTGGCTGGCAGCTGGGGAGGGCTATAAATCTGGGCCAGGTCTACGTGTGGTGCATGACGAGCCCAAGGGCGCCATCTGGGAAGGCTGGGGCGGGTGGTGGATTAACCCATTCTTTCCACCTATGGAGCCAGTTGATTTTTTTTTTTTTCCCCCTTCTAGGCTAGGGTTTTTCCTTAGAGACCTACAGATGTCTTTAGCAACTTGGGGATGGTGATGGCAAGGACATCACGTGGCTTTTCAAGACTATGCTCAGTAGACCACCCTGGCTTCAGGTGGACCAGGGGGAGGAGATATGTTCTCTGTTCCTGTGATCTTGGTCGGAGAGACAGGCTAGTCCTATTTCATGCAATCTGTGGGCTCAAAATCCTATTAGCTGAAGGTTTTCCTGCAGATTGACAAAAATTACAGCTCTTTAAATAGGACTCACTTAAAAAGTGTTTCCTCTTTATAATAACACTTCCCCATTGGGCATGCTCATGCCAACCTGTAAATCTCCACAGGGCCCATATCCCCGTTTTCTGAGGCTCGAAGAAAGGCTGGAGTGGTGCCCATCACATTTAGCAGCTGATTGGGTTAAAAACAAGCATCTCCGTGTGTGCTGGTCAGGACTTCCTACTGAGAGGGCCTCAGAGCAGCTCAGAGCGCTGTTCTGGCCTCACCAGCTTCTGGCTGCAGGTGCAGGGTCTGGCCTTGCCCCAGAGGCCGGGGAAGGCTTTCTCTTTGGACCCCGGCCTCCCACAGAGCTCAGCGGGCTGGGGCCCTGGGCATCAGGGCTGACTTAATACTCGGATAAACAAGCTTTAATAATGTGTCTGCTAATAGGTTAATATCATTTTCCCCTTCCGAACAGAAACCCTCTGTTTGCCACAGGGCCCGTGACTTCTCGGATCTGATGAGCTGCCTGCTTTCACAATTTTGAAAGTCAGAAATGGCATGCTTGTGGCAGAAACACAGACAACCCAAACCCCACATTTCCCAACGGAGGCCGGGCAGGCCTTTTCAGATGCGGTGGTTCCCCTCCTGGCCTGACCTCCCGTCGGGGCCGGGCTCTGGGCTTCCCCGAGTGTCATGTGAGGCAGACACTGTCTGAGCGGCTGGACGCCACCCAACGGCAGGAGAGGGGCCCGGATGCCGGGGTGACCTCTGGGGGCGTGTCTGGTTTGTGATCCCTGCCCTGACCCATCCCATCCCTGCCTCCCCCTGCCCCCA